ACTTTTCAATTAGGGAGTCCAAAAGCTGTCTTTAAACTTTGTACAGTTGCGAAATAGTCCATCCTCAGAATTCCTTGAGCTCTTTTGAAATTCTTCTGAGAAGTCCACTAAAAATATATTTGGAACTTTTTATGATTTTTTTCTCAAAACACCTTGGAACTGAATGAGCTAGCAAATTATCCTCGGAATTTGCATGAAATTTTGCTTAAAATCCCTTTGGAATTTCACTGCAAATTTGATTTTCTCTGTATTCATGTATTTTCTTTTCCAAATTATCAACTATCTGCAAGATGCACAAACAATTATCCACAGAATTTCCTTTGAATTCTCCCAAGTAATATTTTGAAACTGTCATAAGAATTCATTATCTTCCCCTGAAGTTTCAGAAATTTCTTTGAAATTTCAGAAGAATTTCCTCTGCATTCTCCAGAAATTTTTCCCAGAATGCACTTGAAATTATCCTCGGAATTCCCTTGAAATTTTTCTCAACATCCCTTTGGAATTTCATTTAAAATTTGATTTTCTCGGTATTCTCATCATGGAACTATCAGCAGGATTCGTCGTCTCAGGGACCCAGTCTGGTGGCCAGGAATGGATCGCGAAGTAACCAGTTATGTAATAGCTTGTGAAGGTTGTCGGCTGACCTAAACCAAAACCGATGTCACGCCGTCCGCTTCCTAATAAACCGTGGGTGGACATAGCCATAGACTTTCTCGGGCCTATGCCGGACGGAGTATACTTATTCTTTATAATTGACTACTACAGTCGTTATAAAGAAGTCAAATCGATACATAAAATAATGGCGAGAGATACGGTATCTAGATTGGATAAAATTTTCACACGTTTGGGATACCCTCGGACAATTACGCTAGACAACGTAAAACAGTTCGTAGGTATTGAATTGATACACGGAATTCATCTGAACCATTCGATACCGTATTGACCGCAACAGAATGGTATCGTCGACAGACAGAAGAGATCGCTTCTCAAGAGACTTTAAATAAGCAATGCTATGGGTAGAGATTGGAAACAGGATCTACAGGACTATTTAGTGATGTACTAAACCACACCGCATTCCGTTACTGGTCAAACACCAACAGAACTCTTGTACGGCCGAACAATCCGATCGACGATATCAGCACTGGAAGATATTGAAATTGCCCCTCCTAAATAAGATTTTGCAGACAGAGACTTGAAGTCGAAAACAAGAGAGAAGGATCATGAAGATATGCGACGAAGAGCGAAGAGATCGTCGGTAGATGTGGGTGATTCAGTTTTGATGCAAAATCTTCTACCAGGCAACAAACTGCAGACAGCACTCAATCGCAAGAAATACGTAGTAGTATCCAGGTTCGGTCCTCGGGTTACCGTGCAAGATCCCGAAAGCGGAAAATCATATGACAGAAACACGGCTAGAAGATTACTAACTCTGACCTGCCAGCGGAAACACGAAGACGAATTCTATGGTTTCAAGCTGGATCAAGCACCTAAAGTAAGCGTACCTTCATGACAGAGCCGAACTACGAAGAGACCGACAAAATTTGCAGATTATCAGCTGTAGGATTCTATTTAAAGAAGGAAGATGTGGTACCCGAGTACGGCCCTGCTAGCGGGAGGGAATTTTGTTCCCCAGTGGAGTACGGGCTTGGGGAATAGGGAAATGTCATTTTTTTTTTCCTTTGGTTTGTTTTTACCGTCGATCTTGTTTTCCGTGCTGAGCACCAATGCTACCGACGTGCCAGGAAGGCAGCTCCCACACCTGGACCCTACCTATCGACCCATCAACTCATGAACCGGGGACCAACGGCTTTACTTCCCATCCGAAGGAAGGCGTGATCAGAGATGTTATGCCTCAGAACATCCCGGCGGCGCCGACTGGGATTGAACCCAGGCCTGCTGGGGTGAGAGGTAATCACGCTTACCACTACACCACCGGCGCCGTTAGGGAACTGTCATTGGTTCGTTGTATTTTGAGCGTGCGGTAAAACTATGTCGTTAGATAGTGGCATTTCCTACTTAACCGGGAACTCGGGTTGATCCCGGTCCTCTCTCTCTGTAGGCAGTAGTCTCCGGCCAATGAGACCACCACCAAACGATTCAGCAGAGTTTTTCCTTTAAAAATATGTATAAAATGTTGACTGAAATCGTTTGTCAGCCAAGATATTCAATTTAGTCGCGGTTTTGTCAATTTTTGCCCACTGTGCGTGGGTGTAGTGGTAATCGTGATTGCCTCTCACTCCGGTTCATGAGTTGATGGGTCGACAGGTAGGGTCCAGGTGTGGGAGCTGTTTTCCTGGCGACGGGAGCATTGGTGCTCAGCACGGAAAACAAGATCAATGGAAAACAAACCAAAGAAAAAAAAATATTGCAAAGAAGGTGACTTGACAAAACTATAAGAGAATTTAGCATCTCCCGATTGGGTGCAACCAACAAGGAACAAAATTTGTATTGACCTTTATCTTAAAACCACTCTTCCATTTGAAACGATAATATTTTTCATTCCTACATTCCAATTCCGCAACGTCAACTTTGATGTACGATCTTCAAATCGTACATCTCTCTAGGAATTGCATTTCAAGCATTCGAACATGAATGAAACAACAACAGCCGATGCTTTCTACACAGCATCCGACAAGGAACAGATCAGGCCAATCGGATTCAGAATTACATCGCCAGTGGAAGCATCCACACCGAGAAGTAACGAAGCTGTAAGGAAATGGAGCAGCATTGCGGAACAAGAATCCTTGATATCCCACAACGCCAAATCGGACTCTCCATGCAACGAAAACCCGCCACATGCACAAAAGGGACGGAAACGGAATGAATCGATGCGAGATTTATGTGCACAATTTATCCAATTCTTTATTCATGCTGTGTGCATCGCCTCAGAGCGGCCGGCGGTATGAACCTGGTTCCCTGGCTTGTCGTCGGAAAGGATTGTATATTTTTTTTTCGAAATGGAATAAAAAAAATGCAGCAAAGTTTCGATCCTTTTCACGGTTCCACACTGAATGACCAGAGGATTGTTGCATTCAAACTGCTGGAATGGAAAAGCCATTGAGACCGAGGCATATCATAAAATTGAATTGCCATTGCATTACCAGTTGAACGTGAATTTTCTACTTCCGTGCGGGAAAACACTTTAATGGCTAACAACGGCGCAGGGCGAGGGGAGAAGCCATTCCGAAAAATTAAATTTGCTGAAAGGTTCTTTGAGGGTTGCATCCTTTTGAGGGAGAAAAAAAATCAATTTGCTTATCGATTTCGATTCCATTGCCTTAATTAACTTTCAATTCATAGCGTTCTTAATTGTTTCATGCTCTGGGGAAAAAATGGCAACCAGCTTTTAGCTTTCAAGGGAGAAAATCATTCGACTGGCGATGCTTCTTAAACACAGTTTTCCCTCTCGAGACGGGGTTCTAACAGTTTCCATTCAATGCAAAGTGGGTTTTATGGGCGAGATTGGAATTGCCTGGTCCTGGATAGCAGGAAATGGCATAAGGTGTGTAACGATTCCATTTCCAGTGCCGTTTACGTAGGAGGAACGTTGTAGAGCTACTTTTCCTCTGCACCTCTGTCGATTTGAGAAAAGCTGGGGCCAGTCTCAGTGAAGATTGCGCCTGGCATGGCGAACGGTGCAAGCTTTGCAAGTAGCTGCTGATGGGGGAGACTATTCAAATAGACGGTACTTTTGAGTAAAGGTTGGCGTGTCCACGGAATAAAGAGTGGCTTTGCATTGAGCAGCCATTTAAAGGTAAGCACAAGATCCACAGCGATGCTGTGTAAGCCCAAGAAACAATGAAATCTGAAGGATATTTTTCAAGAGCTTTAACATAAATGTTTTTTTTTTTTAAATAGACTTACCAAATTGTCCAAATTCATGAGTATTAAAATCAATTAAATTGATTTTCAATTTATATATTAAATTTAATAGAAGGGCACTTGCCACTAGCAGGTGGATTAATCAAGGTTTTACAGGAGCAAATCTGTAAATTTCTTACTGTACATTTATCTCAATGTTCAGTAGCATTTGAATTACTAAACTCATGTTGACTTGCCCTAGTGGGATCAAAAAGTGGAAAGCTGCTTAAAAGAGTGGTGCTGTTTCCCATTTTATAGTGAAATTGCTTTCCAAGACCCGTCTTCAGAGCCCACTCAAACCGCATCCCATGAGCGATGGAAATAAAAGCCAATTTGCTAACCGTTTTCCACACGTCTTCACTCTCTATTCAAAGCAGAATATCAAATTCCCTTTCGACTCATGAACTGGCTATACTGACCACAAATCTTTCCACTTTACATTCCGGGAAAGAAGAAAGAACTCATTTGCGGTAAGTGAGGATAAATGAAAAATATGCATTCAACTATGAGCTCGTATGAATTGTTCAAAAGAAATGCTCCCAAAAATTCAATTTATAAGAGTTTTAAAAATGCATGGAAGTGAGCCAAAAGGCAGCTGACTGCAATCAAAAGACCATTCATTCGAATAACACAATATGAGTTGCGAGTGAAAAGTCGTTATATTGCATTGAAAATCTCATCCTAAATTCATGAGAATGTGAACAAAACGATTGCACGTGCTTCTCAGAAAATTTTCCCCGTTCTTGACAAGGATCAGAAAAACTTTCCGTAATCTCCGGAGCAAACACGATCTCCGCTGAGCCCTAGGGTAAAATCTTTGTAATCTTTCACCCTCCAGAGGCTTGGCGAGATAAATGGGAACTTAGTCTTCCTCTGCTTCCAGAGCAGAGCTTGATGGAAGCAATTAATTAGTCTGCTATTCACTGTAAGCAGGGAGAACCGATTTTCCAGAAGATGAAGCTATCCTACGAGTGGGTGTTACTTTTCAATCAAACTGAACCTGTCAGGATTGTAGCATTCAGCCACCTGGTTACATGCAATCAATTTACTTACTCGAAGTGTGCAGTAAATTTAACTAAGTCCTTGCAAGGAAGCTCATTGATGAATAGGTACAATGTTCATCCTTAAATACTACTCACCTCTAGTCTAACCTACGTAACACATTGAAAGCAGTGTTCCTTTTGTTTCGTTCCGTTGTTTTCTCAGCCTCCAACCGTTCTGATCCCTCTGAACCCACCGTTCGTAGCCGTTCAGCCTCAGTTTAAGCCCCCTGTAGGATGTTTTCCTTTTGCATCGATCCGGTCCCGTTACTCTGCAGCAGGTCCAGCGAGGGTTGCAGAATCAGCGGCGAAGTGATTACCTGAATGGGTCTGTGTGAGCCAGAGGAAGAAAACAAAGGCTTATCGGTTAGGTGTGATGTGAGTGGTGTGAGCAGAGGGAAGCCAGGGAAACTCACTCTCCGATGGGGGCTGTCGTTCGGGATCCGTGCATGGCTTGAGCGGTTCGGGCGCGGGCAATCAGGGTCATTACGGTTCGCTTCGTCGGGTTCATACTGGAACGAGGACCACCCAGCAGGGGTCGCTTTCGAGCTGTTCGGAAGAAGGATGGTCGATTGTGAAAATGAGTTTCAAATTAGGGGCAATTTATATATAAATACCAAATACCAGTCGAAAATGCTTAATACAGCCCAGAGGAAAATTGTTCAGGTGTTTAAGATATGAATTCTGGTAGGATTCCGGACGGGAAATTGATCAATATTCCAGACAGAATTTATTCAGAATCTTATTACGGGATTTTTGACATTACTCGGGAATGAAGATCTGGCATTTTGACAATTCATTAAAAGTTCCTGTAGATCAATATCGGAATTCTACGTTACAAGAATTCCTAAATAAAAGCCTAGAGAATGGAATTTGGCAAGAATTGCAGACTGTATTTCTAAATGATTATAATGGAATAATAAGAGTATTCCAGTATGGAGTTCTACAAAAAATCCTAAATGAAATTATACAAGAATTACACAAATCAATTCTAAAAGAATTCCCTAAATCAATTCAAAAAGTATTCCATGATGAAATTCCTTGAAAACTAAAGAATTGAATTCTAGCATGGAATTTTTCAATAATTTCAGAAAGGAATTCTACAAGAATTCCAGTGTGAAATCCTTCGATAATTTTCCATGCTGGCATTTAATAATAATTCCAGAATGGAATATTAGAATTTCAGAAGGGAATTCTATGAGAATTTCAGCATGAAGTTCTACAATAAATCCAGAAAAGAATTCTACAAGAATTTCTGAATGGAATTCTACACGAATTCCTTAATGGAATTCTACAAGAATTCCTTAATGGAATTCTACAAGAATTCCTTAATGGAATTATTCCAGAATGGAAATCTACAAGAATAACCTAATGGAATTCTACAATAATACCTTACTGGAATTCTACAGGAATTCCTTAATGGAATTATTCAAGAATTCCTGAATGGAATTATAAAAGAATTCCTGAATGAACTTCTTCAAAAATTGCAGAATATAATTCTTCAACAATTCTTGAATGGAATTCATCAATAACTCCTTAATTGAATTCTTCAGGAATTGTTCATGGAATTCTTCATGAATTCCTAAATAAAATTCTTGAAGAATTCCTGAATGGAATTTTAAAAAATTCCTGAATGGACTTCTTCATAAATTGCTGAATATAATTCTTCAAGACTCTCTGAATGGAATTCTTCAAGAATTCCTTTATTGAATTCTTCAGGAATTGTTCATAGAATTCTTTATGAATTCCTGAATAAAATTCTTTAAGAATTCCTTAATGGAATTCTTCACAATTTATGAACATGATTCTTCGAAAATTCCTTAATGGAGTTCAACAAGACTCCCGGAATGAAGTTCTACAAGAATTTCAGTTTGGAATTCTACAATAAATCCAGATTAAAATTGTGGAATGGAATTCTACAAGAATTCCTGAATGAAATTCTACAAGAATTCCTGAATGGAATTCTACAAGAATTCCTTAATGGAATTCTACGGCAATTAAAAAAGGGAAATTTACAAGAATTTCCTAATGGAATTCTACAAGAATTCCTTACTAGCATTCTACAATCTTTCTAATGGAATTATACAAGAATTCCATAATGAAATTTAATAGAATTCCTCAAAGGACTTCATTAAAAATTGCAGAATATAATTGTTCTAAAATTTCTGAATGGAATTCTTCAAGAATTCCTTAATTGAATTCTTCAGGAATTGTTCATGGAATTCCTTATGAATTCCTGAATAAATTCTTCTTGAATTCTTAATGGAATTCTTCAGAATTTATGATTAAAATTCTTCAAAAATTCCAGACCGGAATAATGCAAGAAATCCAGTTGTAAATTCCTACAGAATCCCTGGAATTAATTCGACAAGAATTGAATTTCTATGAATTCCAGAATGGAGTTCTATGATACTTCCGGATTGGATTTCTTCAAGAACCCTAGAATGGAATTTCATATGAATATCCTCATATCATACATGAAATTAAAAATTGAATTCTACAAGAATTCCTGAATTTAACGCTAATAGATTGGAATGCTTAATCAAAGGAACGTCGAAAACTTGGAATATTGCAATTTTAAAATTCTTAAAGAATTCCATAATATTATTCTACAATAATGAAATGCTACAAGACTTCGAGACTGAAATGAAATTCAACTAAACTTCCAGTAAGGATTTCTATAATTATTTAAGAATGAAATTCTACAAGAATGTAATTCTACAAGAATGAAATTCTACAAGAATGAAATTCTACAAGAATGAAATTCTACAAGAATGAAATTCTACAAGAATGAAATTCTACAAGAATGAAATTCTACAAGAATGAAATTCTACAAGAATGAAATTCTACAAGAATGAAATTCTACAAGAATGAAACTCTACAAGAATGAAATTCTACAAGAATGAAATTCTACAAGAATGAAATTCTTCAAGAATGAAATTCTACAAGAATGAAATTCTACAAGAATGAAATTCTACAAGAATGAAATTCTACAAGAATGAAATTCTACAAGAATGAAATTCTACAAGAATGAAATTCTACAAGAATGAAATTCTACTAGAATGAAATTCTACTAGAATGAAATTCTACTAGAATGAAATTCTACTAGAATGAAATTCTACTAGAATGAAATTCTACTAGAATGAAATTCTACAAGAATGAAATTCTACAATAATGAAATTCTACAATAATGAAATTCTACAATAATGAAATTCTACAATAATGAAATTCTACAATAATGAAATTCTACAATAATGAAATTCTACAATAATGAAATTCTTCAAGAATGAAATTCTACTAGAATGGAATTCTACAAGAATGGAATTCTACAAGAATGGAATTCTACAAGAATGGAATTCTACAAGAATGGAATTCTACAAGAATGAAATTCTACAATAATGAAATTCTACAATAATGAAATTCTACAAGAATGGAATTATACAAGAATGGAATTCTACAAGAATGGAATTCTACAAGAATGAAAATCTACAAGAATGAAATTCTACAAGAATGAAATTCTACAAGAATGAAATTCTTCAAGAATGAAATTCTTAAAGAATATAATTCTACAAGAATGAAATTCTACAAGAATGAAATTCTACAAGAATTAAATTCTACAAGAATTAAATTCTACAAGAATTAAATTTTAAAAAGGCGAAATTCTACCAGAATGAAATTCTACCAGAATGAAATTCTACCAGAATGAAATTCTACCAGAATGAAATTCTACCAGAATGAAATTCTACCAGAATGAAATTCTACCAGAATGAAATTCTACCAGAATGAAATTCTACCGGAATGAAATTCTACCAGAATGAAATTCTACCAGAATGAAATTCTACCAGAATGAAATTCTACCAGAATGAAATTCTACCAGAATGAAATTCTACCAGAATGAAATTCTACCAGAATGAAATTCTACCAGAATGAAATTCTACCAGAATGAAATTCTACCAGAATGAAATTCTACCAGAATGAAATTCTACCAGAATGAAATTCTACCAGAATGAAATTCTACCAGAATGAAATTCTACCAGAATGAAATTCTTCAAGAATGAAATTCTTCAAGAATGAAATTCTTCAAGAATGAAATTCTTCAAGAATGAAATTCTTCAAGAATGAAATTCTTCAAGAATGAAATTCTTAAAGAATGAAATTCTTCAAGAATGAAATTCTTCAAGAATGAAATTCTTCAAGAATGAAATTCTACAAGAATGAAATTCACCATTAACTACAGAATGGAATTCAACAAGATTTGCAAAATGGGATTCTACAAAGATTCCAGAACGAAATTCTTCAAGAATTCTAGAATTAAATTGTATAATAATTCCAGAATATAATTCTAATAGAATTCCAGAATTAAATTCTACTTGAATTTCAGACAATTCGAGCTTGGAATTCTTTAATAGTTCCAGAGCATAATTCTACAAGAATTCCTGAGTGGAATTTAGCAATATTTCCTGAATGGAATTTTATTGAAATTCTTGAATGGAATCATACCAGACCTCCTGGAGGGAATCATACAAGAAAGGAAAATTTCTAAATGAAATTCTTCAAGAATTCCTAAATGGAATTCTACAAGAATTTCTGAATGGAATTCTACAACAATTCCTGAATAGAATTCTACAAGAATTTCAGACTGGAGTTCTATATGAATTCCAGAATGGGATTCTACGAGAATTTCAGACAATAGTTCTTCAAAAATTCCAGAATATAGTTCTTCAAGAATTCCAGATGGAAATTCCATTAGAATTCCAGATAGGGATTCGACAAGAATTCCAGATAGGGATTCGACAAGAATTCCAGAATAAAATTCTTCTTGAATTCCAGAATGGAATTTTTCATGAATTCCAGAATGGAATTGTACAATAATTACAGAATGGAATTTAATAATCATTCCAGAATGGAATTTGTCAAGGATTCCACAATGGAATTTTACAAGAATTCCAGATAGGAATATTACGAGAATTCCATGGTGAAAATTTTCAAGAATTCCAGAATGCAATGATTGTAGAATTTCGGAATGGAATTCTTTAAGTAATCTGGAATTGAATTCTATCAGGATTTAGGAATGAAATTTATGTATTCTTGATTCTAGAATGGAAATCTACAATAATTTCAATATGGAATTCCTCATATATTTTAGAATGGAATTTTAATGGAATTGAGAAATTGGATTCAACAATAATTCCAGAGTTGAATGCTACTTGAATGGAATGCTTAAAGAATGTAATGTTTCAAGGTTGGAATTCCACAAGAATTCCTGGATGAAATTCTACAATAATGGAATTCGACAAGAATTTCCGACTGAAATGAAATTCTATTAAAATTCCAGAATGGAATTCTACAAGTATTTCAGAATAAAATTCTACAAGAATCAAATTCTAAATGAATTTCAGAATGAAGTTCAACGTGAATTGCGGAATGGAATTCGACAAGAATTCCAGAATTAAATTCTACAAGACTTCCAGACTGGACTTCTACAAGATATGCAAAATGGGATTCTACAAGAATTCTTCTAGGTTTGGAGAATGAAATTCTACAAGGATTTCAGAAAACAATTTTACAAGATTTCAATTATGTAATGTAACGAGAATTGCTGCATGGAATTCTGAAAGCTCCAAAATTCCAAAATCAAAAATTCCTGAATGGAATATTATAAGAATCTCTGAATGGATCTCTACAAGAATTCCTGAAAGTTATTCAAAAATCCGTCATTCCGAAATCAAGATTTCTTGAATCTAATTTTATAAGAATTTTTGAATGGATTTTTGCAAGAATTCCTGAAAGTTAATTAACAAGATTTTTTTATTTTATTCCAAAAAATCCTGATTGGAATTTTACACGAATTCCAGAATATAATTTTTCAAGTATATGATGATAGAATTCTTCAAGAAGTCAAGAAGGGAAATCCAAAAGTATTCCAGAATGGAATTTATTTTTTTTTTCCAGAAGTGAATTCTTCATTAATTCCATAAAGAAAGTTTTCAAAAATTCAAGAATGGAAGTTTACAATAATTCCAGGAAGGAATTCAACAAGAATTTCAGAATGGAATTTTCCGGAACACCAGATAGGAATTCTAGAAAAGTTCTGAAATGGAATCCAACAAGAATTCTGGAATCAATTTCAGTAAGAATTCTAGAATGGAAATCTACAAAAAATCTTAATGGATCTTCAAAAAAAAAAAATCTACAAGAATTGAAAAATTTGATTCAATTAGAATTTCAAAATGGAATGGAATGCTTCAAGAATGGAATGCGTGAAGAATGTAATGTTTCAAGGTTGCAATTCTAAAAGTATTCCTGAATGTAATTCGACAAAAACGGAATTCTGAAAGGATTCCAGACTGAAATGAAAATCTCTTAAATTCCAGAATGTAATTCTTCAATTATTGCAGAATGAAATTTGTCAAGAAATTCTTCAACAGCTTTGGAATTTAATTCTACAATATCTGCAGAATGGATTTTCACAAGAATTACAAAATGGAGTTCTACAAGAAGTCCTTAATTAAATTTAGTATGATTTCCAGAATAACATTCTACTGGAATTCAATAATGGAATTTTGCATGAATTTATTAATGAACTTCTTAAATAATTCCAGAATAGAATTCTGCAGTAATACCAAAATTTAACCCTACAATAATTCCAGAATATTATTTAAGAAGAATTCTTTACATGGATTCTACAAGAATTCAATGAGTGAATTCTACAAGAGTTCCAAAAACTAATTCAACCAGCACTCTAAAACTGAATTTTAAATAATTTCAGAAAAGAATATTACAAGATTTCTATTATGTTATATCACGAGCATTGCTGCATGGAATTCTGAAAAAAACTCCGGAATTCCAAAATCAAGAATTCCTGAATGGAATTTTATAAGAATTTCTGAATGGATTTCCACAAGAATTCCTGAAACTAATTCAACAAAATTTTTTGATTTCTGTCCAAAAAAAAATCCTGAATGGAATTTTACATGAATTCCAGAATATAATTTTTCAAGTATTCCATGATATAATGCTTCAAGAAGTCTAGAAGGGAATTCCAAAAGTATTCCAGAATGGAATTTAATTTTTTTTTCCAGAATTGAATTCTTCATTAATTCTAAAATGGAAGTTTTCAAGGATTCCAGAATGGAAGTTTACAATAATTCCAGGAAGGAATTCAACAAGAATTCCAGAATGGAATTTTCTGGAACACCAGAATGGAATTCTAGAAAAGTTCTGAAATGGAATCCTACAAGAATTCTGGAATCAATTTCAGTAAGAATTTTAGAATGGAAATCTACAAAAAAAAATCTATATGGATTTACATAAAGGAATTCTACAAGAATCGCAAAAAAAATTCTATAATTATCTAAGAATGAAATGCTACTAAAATGGAATGCTTGAAGAATGACATGTTTCAAGGTTGCAATTCTAAACGAATTCCTGAATGTAATTCCAAAATAATTAAATTCTAAAAAGATTCCAGACTGAAATGAAAATCTCTTAAATTCCAGACTATAATTCTTCAAATATTGGAGTTTCATTCTTCACAAGAATTCCAGAATGGAGTGCTACAAGAATTCCTTAATTATATTCTGTATGATTACCAGAATCATATTCTACAGGAATTCAATTATGGAATTTTGGACGAATTTCATAATGAACTTATTCAATAATGCCAGAATAGAATTCACCAATAATTCCAAAATTTAATTCTACAATAGTTCCAGAATAATATTTAATAAGAACTCCATGCAATTCTACAAGAATTCGTTTAATGAATTCTACAAGAATTTCATAATGATTTCTATAAAAATTCCTAATATGAATTATACAAGAAACCCAAAAAAATAATTTAACCAGCATTTCAAAAATGAATTAAAAAAATCTTATAAATATTTTCTTAAGGAATTTCATAATAGAGTGCTTCAAAATATCCAGAATTGAGTTCTACGAGAACTCCAGAATGTATTTCTACAATAATTCCATATTCAAAATTCTGCAAGAATTTAAAAATTCAAATTTAACAAGAATTCATGAATGGATTTTTATAAGAAATCCATACTGAAATTCTACAAGCAGACAGCAAATCTACAAGAATTCCATAATATAATTCTACAATAATTTCAGAATGAAAATTCTACAATAATTTCAGAATGAAAATTCTACAAGAATTCAAGTATGGATTGTTACAAGGAATCCATTATGGAATTCTACTAGAATTCCAGAATAAATTGCGGCAAGAATTCCAGAATGTAATTCGACTAGAATTTCAGAATAAAATTCTATCAAAAATTCAACAATGGAATTCTACAAGAATTCCACAATGGAATTCTACAAGAATTCCACAATTGAATTCTACAAGAATTCCAGAATGAAATTCTTCAAGAATTTAAGACTGGAAATCTTCAAGATTTTGATGACGGAATTCTACAATAATATCAGAGTGCAATTTTACTTTAATATCAAAATGGAATTCTACAATAATTTTCTTTAATAAAATAACTGCTAAATTACTTTTAGAATTCAAAATATTATCTCTTGAGGAATTCCACGAAAATTTAAGATGGGAATTCAACTAGAATTCTCGAATGGAATGTCGCAATAGGTATAAAAATTGGCTTTTAAAAAATAACCTTTATCGGAATTGTTTTTGAAAAGAATTGCTAAAACTACCGGAGGAATGTTTCAAAATTTCCTAGAAGCTATTCCACACAATATCCAGGGCAGACCGTTCCTGAGATTCCGGAATGCCTTTTTCTCAATAATGTATTCCTATAGTCATGCACCTTCTTACCTAAACTCACAGTTTTCACTCCTCGCAGCGCCGGATGTAGAAATGCATTTGCCGATTCAACGAACGCCAGCGTCTGTGCTTCGATATCGGTCGTTGGCAGGGCTGCAGGGAAGAAATCGAAAACCATAAAGCAAAAACCAAAAACCATTGCCAAGTAAATCGACCCTGGCGTAAAAGGCTACAGCTGATTGGAACGCTGGGTACGAGTAAAGTTCCTCCTTGGGACTATTATTTATCGGAGAAATAAATCGCTGCTCCTAGGTACAAAAAGCGACGACCAAAGTTCTGCTTTCACAGCCACAAATGGACCAACTTCCAACCGATCATGTCCCAGGATGACATCGAACATATCACATTGCAACTTAGGGGAGAATGGTATAGAACGCACCCCCTGGGCAGAACGCACCAGCTGACTTTCATTTGTGTTTTTCATGGCTATTAAGTAACTTTTTTGTTGTCTTATCAAGCAGCACTTCTAGCATAGTATCTGAACTCAAAATCCTGCATGATAAATCCTAGAATTGGATTTAAAATTCCAAGAAAAACTCAAAATAAAATGAAAAAGTGCGTCTTACCCCGGGGGTGCGTTATGTACTGTTCTCCCCTACTGCCTCACCTCGCTCCCACGTCCACCTGGAGAACGGCCTGAGGTCAAAGTTTACGGCATATCATAAATTGAGCTTCTTCCTATGCTCCCACCCACTAGAGCACTAAATCCCGTACACTTGTAATATGCGACCGGTCAACCTCAGTCTCCTCTCCTCGCGCAAAATGAAAATTCCATTATCTCATAAAACTTACACGTTCTAACGTCATGTATTACATAACTCAAGTTGAGCGCCACCGCCACCAGCTTCCTCTGGAGTGCGGTAAAATATGAAGTGATAAAATGTGGAAACTTTCTCCTTCATTAAGGAAACGGGCACACACACACACACACGCTCACACGTTCGGTTGGTCCTTGCCTCTTGCTTCGGTCATCTGTTGCAAGTAAGATGGACCCATCGACCGACCGCAGACCAGGAATAACTCATTTGGTATGCAAACTATATGGCTTGTCCGCCTCTCTTGGATTGTCTCATCGGTTGGTTGACAAATGGCGTAGCAAGGGTTTTGTTTTGCAATCGAAAAGTATCAGGAATACATATTAAGAAGGGTAAAGGATGATCACCTGAAACAACTGAAGATCTAGGAATAAATGTCCTAACTGGCCAGGGCAGATTTGGACATTTGGAAGGACCAAATGGTCTACCAAACGTGATTTTGGATGCGCTGAACTTGGGAATATCTGTTCCAGTATGATCATGTCAACAAGTGAATAAAAGTAGCCTTAACGGCTAGATCAGAGGGAAAGTCACCCTAGTTAGAAACGAGGATAAAAAGACTTCAAAGGGTATCATGTTACGCCCGGTATATTTAGGTGTGTAAAAGTATATCAGGATTAGATGATTGGTTTTTGGATAATTGCCAAAATTGATTCGAATTATTTAAAATATATCCAACAACTGTATTCACCTCTCACGACGTCACTGATTTTCCCCATTTGGTCATCAAACTGCAAATTGTTGGACCCCTAGGAGGAAGTTCTATACATCGTAAAAGTTCGTATCACTTCTCTATTGGCTCCATTGTGGAACATAGAAGTTTTTATCACCGAAGAAATGCACTTTCCTTCCAGCACTCAACTTTCTCCCTTTGCAAATCGTTGGACAGTCTCAACGTCATCATCATCATCATCATCTTTATTAATCCAACCCAAATCCATCCGGTGTGTTTGTGCCAATGCGGTTCGGATCGATCGTGCTCCGGCAGGGAGAATCGTCATCCGCCAGCAGGCGGATGCTTTATTCAAAGTTCAACCTGGTAACTCTTTCCCTGGGTGGATTTGAATTGAAATTTAATTTTTAAATTTTCGTTCATTTCAACACTTTTATAATTGAACCATTTCCATCGGACGCACTCGACTGTGCCAAATAAATAGCGATAAATTCTCGTTAGGATCTCGTTATCTCTTTCTCTCTTTCTCCCGGAGTTGGCGTCCATTGCGAGGTGGGCCACATGCGTCGGCACCACCCAATTAACAATTTCAATTATCTCCTCACTGGCTGCGCTGTTTTGGCAACGTCCCCGGGCGGAAGTCAGGAGCTGGCACCGTGTCGACAAGTCGGTCAACGCTGGATAGCCAGCTCAGTCCAGTCGTCGTCGTCGTCGTTTCGTTTGTTGGACTTCACTCGTTCGTAAACTTGTTTTGCCTGGGCATACTAATTAAGATTCATATACATACACATGGTTATGGCTAAGGCAGAAGAGCCATTTTCACGGAAAGGTTCTTTTAATCCCATGGGAGGGTGTGACCTTCCCCGTCGCTGGACCTTGTTTTTGCAACGGAAAGCACGTTCCAATTCGTCGGGGATTAGAATACTACATGGAAATGAGCTCGAATCAGATATCATCAGGATTTTGTAATCAATTTCAGAGGAAATTGAGGTCAAGCTAAATAAATTTCTGAGGCTTTCCAACATCAATTTTGTAACCAGTAAAGGAAATGTAATTTCAAGGTAATAATCTAGATGAACAAAGCTCTGAACGAATTTCAGAAACCAACACTCCTCGCAGCAGGAACCATTCCGCAAAACCCAATCCAATCAGCTGTAACTTTTACGCTAATACCTTTTGAAACACAAACACAGACCAGAACGATCATGCAACAAACTTACAGTTCACAAAGTGATTAGCCGACGTCATGTTCACGTCGACCGGCATCAGATTGCTCATATCGGAGGCAGTGGCCGCTGCTGCTACTGCTGCATCGGCTGCCGCTGCCGCAACCGCTGCACTGCTCGACAGGAACTGCTGATGCTGATGCTGATGGTGGTGGTGCTGGTGATGCTGGTGCTGTTGAGCATTAGTGCTGTTGGTATGTTGCGACGGGTGATTACTAGTGCCATCCGATCCGAGCGTCGTTCCAGCGGAGAGGACACCCCCACAGCCGTTGCTGGTGCTGCCATTTGCGGTACCGTTGGATGTGATCGAATCAACGCCGCAGCTCTGATGGTGCATCATCTCCGGATTACCGTTGAGACCGTTTCCGTTCAGTGTCACGTTGCCGTTGGATGTGCCGTTATTGCTGCTGCTGTTCACGTTGTGGCCGTTGATGGTGGTGCCGTTGCAGTTGCCATTCGTTCCATTCGGTACTGAGAAGGGAAGGAAGGGTGGAATAAGAATTAATTGAAGTTATGAAACACTTCGCGATGGCCTCTTTGTATGTAATTCATTACACAAATTTCTGAATTTCTAATTCCGAATTCCAACAAAATTTCAAGTTTCCAATTTCAAACTCCAACAAATTTAAATAAATTGCAAATTCCAACAAATGTCTAATTCCAGCAAATTCCAATTTACAACGATTTCTCAATTCCATATTAAAAATTTAACTAATACATAATGTCAACACAGTCCAACGGATTCTTAATTTAAAATTCCAACAAACTTCAAATTTCATCAAATCAAATAAAAAATCCAATATCAAAAATTCCACCAATTCCGAATTTCAACAAGTTCAATATTCAGCATATTCCAAATTTCAATACATTACAAATTCCAAAAAAATCAAACTCCTAAAAAATCCAACGAATTCTTAATTCCAGGTTTCAAATCCTAAATCCAAATCTCAAACTCCATCAAATTCGGAAGTCCAACGAAATCCAACATATTCTAAATTCTAATTTTCTCAACGAATTTCACATTTTAACAAATTGCAAAAAACCATAAACTCCAAATTCCAAATTCCAGCAAATTCCAAACTCCAACAAAGCCCAGCGGTCTCTTAATTCCAAAATTGAAACGCCAAATTACAAATTTAAAATTCCAGCCATTCCAGCAAAAATTCCAAACTCCAACAAATTTTTAATTCGAAGATTCAACAAATTCCAAATTCCAACATATTCAAATTTTCCAAAAAAAAAAAAATCCAAATTCAATCATATTATAATCTTCGTGTTCCAAAATATTACACGTAAAAACAAATTCCAAATTCCAACAAAGTCCAACGAATTCTGTATTCCAAATTTAAATTCCAATTCCTAATTCCAAATTTAGAATTCCAACGGATTTTTACTTCCTAATGCTCCATTTCAAAATCCAACAAATTCCCGAGGGGAACGACTCTATCTACGATGCAGCAAATATTGTGTTTTGCTGTGGCTAGCTGCTCGTACGCTGAGTACAAAGAAAGAATTGAAGATTTTGAAGATTTCCTGCAAAAATATGATGCGCGATGCAAGCAGATGCGAGAAATGAAAGAAGATTTTTCGAAAATTTATTTGCTAGTGTGAGAATTTTTGAGCATCTAGAATTGAGATTTAGATGTGTCGCCCCCCTCGAAAATTCCTTTTTCCAACTTATTCAAAAAATTTACAAATTAAAAACTACAACAACATCAAAATTTCACAAATTCCAAATTCCAACAACGTTCAACGAATTTTGAAATCAAATTTATAAATTCAAATTAATTCTATAAATTAAAATTTTTATCAAATGCCAAAATCCAGCATACACCCAATTCTACCAACATCCAAATTCCAAACTGAAACAAATTCCAAAATCCATCATTTTACATATTTCAACAAATTTAAAATTCCTACAAAGTCCAACTTATTCTGAATTCCAAATTCCAATTCACAATTCCAAAATCAAAATTTCAACGATGTCCAACAAGTTCTTAATTACAAATGCTCCATTCAATAATGCAACAAATGCCTAATTCCAACAAAAAAAAATTCAAATTGCAAACTCCAACAACATCCATAAGTTTGAAATTCAAAATGCCAACATAGTCCAACGAATTCTTAATTCCTATGTCTAAATTCTAACTAATGCTACAAATTCCAAATTTAATCCAATCCCAAATTTCAACAAGCCCCAAATTATATCAACTGCCAAATTCCAAGGTCCAATTGATTCCAATTTCTACCATATTGTACATTCCAAAAAATTTCAAATTCCAACAAAGTCAATATTGAACATTCCAAATTCCAATTCCAAATTCTAAATTCTATCAAATTCTTAATTCCAACCAATCTCAATTCCAATTAAGTTCCCAATTCTTAAATCTATCAAAAGCCTTATTATAATTTCTTCAGAATTTCAACAATTTCCAAATTCCAGATTTTAAATTCCAACAAATTTCAAAAAACATAAATTCCAAACTTCAAAAAATTCAAATTCGAAGTTTCAACAAATTTCAAATTCAAACATATATAAAATTCCATCAAATTCTTAATTCCATCAAATTCCAATACCCAAGAAATTCTGAATCCCACAATACTGCATATTAAAACAAATTCCAAATTCCAAAAATGTCCAACGAATTCTTAATTCCGGATTCCAAATCCATTTCCAAATTTCAAATTCCATCAAATTCCGAATTCTAACTTAGTTCAATAAATTCTTAATTCCAACGAATTACAAATTCTAACAAAATGCAAACTCTAACAAATCCAAAATTCCAACGACGTCTAACATTCAACGTCTAACTAAATTTACAAATTCAAAATTTTATCAAATTTCCAATTATAACATATGCCAAATTCTATCAACTTCCAAATTTCAAACTCCAATAGATTCCAAATTCCAGCATACATAGGGGAAATAGCCCTATTGTTGCGGTACGTTAGCAGCGTTAGAAACCTATTGTTGTGTATGGAGACCTCCATACAAGATGGGGCTCCGTGCCACACCTCGAACTGTACTCAGAAGTGGTTCCAGGAACATCTTCCGTTTTGGGCGAAGGATATGTGGCCGCCATCCAGCCCCGATCTTAATCCACTGGATTACTCAATATGGCGCGTCATGAAGGCCAAGGCCTGTTCTAAACGCCACCCGAGTACAGCAAGCCGCAGACAAACATTGACCCGTACCTGGAGATAAATGGATCCAGACTACATTATTAGAACCTGCCGTGCATTCCGGAAGCATGTGGAGGTCGTAATTGCAGCAAGTAGAAAATCGATCGATGATTAACATAGTTTAAGACTCTGAGAAACATTCCCCCTTTGAATAAATAAAACAAAAACGAAATTTTTAAGATTTTTTTTTATTTTGACATTGCTAAATGGTGCAAACACGCATACGGTACACAACAATAGGCTTCTAACGTTACTAACATTCCGCAGCAATAGGGCTGTTTCCCCTATCCCAACAGATTTCGAATTCGAATAAAGTCCAACAAATCCGATCAAATTATGAATTCCAACGAAGTCCATCAATCGAAGAAAGTGTTGTTTGAGATATCTGCCAGAGACTCGTCGAGTAGATACGATCTGCTGAAAGCTCATACGGTATACAGTTTGAACTTCCCTGCACATAAGCTGGATTCAGCGAAGTTGATCCAGGAGTTTAAGCACCTTGAAGACATCGACATTCCCATTTACGAGAGAGCTACACCGAAGGGACTGCTGGGGATCGATAATCTTTATTTGATCGGACTGGACGCTGGACTCACGAATCGGAGAATCTGGTGAACCAGTTGCCATTTTGTGCAAGCTCGGCTGGACGGCTTATGGTCCATAACCAAACGTCGTAGGCAAGATGCATTTTCTGGGACATCATCGGTGCTCGTGTGAGGAGTGCAGTAAGGCGGATAAGGATCTGTACGAGCCGAAACAATATCCTCTTGAAGACGTCGGAGTGTCACCTATTCGTTCAGAGTCGAAGGAAGATCGTAGAGCGCGCGAGATTCTGGAGAAGACCACTCGAAGAGTGGGTAGCAGGTTCGAGATATGATTACTCTGGAAAGAAGATGATGTTCGATTTCCGGAGAGTTTAGACATAGCCATGAAGCGGTTACGAAGTTTGGAGGCTCGGATGAACCGGAATCCTCGGGTGCAGGACTGTTTGCAGAAGCAGTTGGAAGCAGGGTTGCTTCCACTCACTTGCTATAAAAAATCGTTTTTCAGAATTATTAAATCATTAGATGTTATAATGGTAATTAGTACTTGTAAGTTACAAGAAGAGGTCGTGACGTATGTGGTTGTCTCATAATACCTGTCAATTTTGCTTTCAGAGCGTCACAATTTTCAATCTTCTGATTCGTGAGCGTTCATTCAGAGTGAGCGCTCACGAATCGTCAAATCGCTGATTGTGACGCACTAAAAGCAATATTTACAGGTTTTATATGCCAAAGACATACTTAACGACCTCTTCTTGTAACTTACAAGTACTAATTACAATTATAACATCTAATGATTTAATTATTCCGAAAAACAATCTTTTATAGCAAGTGAGTGAAAGCAACCCTGGTTAGAAGAATATCTTGTCAAGGGCTACGCGCATCGCATCACCGAGCAGGAGTTAAAGGAGACGCCGAAGAGTAACTACCGCTGAACTACGTGGTACATCCGAAGAAACTGGGAAAGGTGCGGTTGGTCTGGGATACGGCAGCGAAGGCTCATGGAGTGTCGTTTAACGATAAGCTGTTAAAGGGTCCAGACATGATAACGTTGCTACCAGCTGTTATAAGTGGATTCCGCGAGAGAAACGTGGCGTTTGGAAGTGACATTAGGGAAATGTTTCTTCAAATATGGGTTCGTGCAGAAGACCGCCAGGCACAACGGTTTCTATTCGTGGGTCTGAACGGAGCGGTGGAAGCGCACGTGATGGATGTGGTTATCACTGGCTCGATCTGTTCGCCTTGCTTCGCACAGTACGTGAAAAATTTGAACGCGCGGGAACATGCCGAGCAGTATCCGGAGGCTGCCGATGCTATTGTCCGAAAGCACTATGTCGACGACTACTGTATTTCGACAGTGCCGATACAGTAGAGGAAGCGGTGAGACTAGCGATGGATGTGCGACGTGTACACGCCAACAGTGGGCTCAAGATTCGGAACTGGGTTTCCAACTCACAGTAGTCGGTCATCAGCTCGGAGAAGAGAAGTCTGCTGTGAAACCACTAGAAGTAGACAAGCATTGCGCTACGGAGAGAGTACTGGGAGTGCTGTGGGACCCGGTAGGAGATCACTTAATTTCTCAACGGAGATTCAACAAAGAGGATTGTGTTGCGGTGCATTGCCATCATGTTTGACCCGAAGCATTCCTGGCTCCACTGCTGATACACGGACGGATCATAATGCAGGATTTATGGCGTAGCGGTTTAGGTTGGGACGAGAAGCTCACGGAAGCTCACCACAAGCGGTGGGTGCAGTGGACACAGCTATTCCATCTAATCGATTCGTGATTCGTGTTCAACGCTGTTACCTCGGTAGATTGTACTTGAAGGTCTACGAAACGGTGCAGCTACACGTTTTCACTGACGCTGGAGATGCGGCATATAGATGCATGGCCTACCTCAGGCTCGAGGACGTTGAAGTCGTTCACTGCGCATTAATCGAGGCCAAAGCGAAGGTGGCGCCATTACAGTACCTGTCTACACCAAGGTTGGAGCTAGAAGCGGCTGTTATCGGTGCGCGATTGGCAAAATTGATCTGCGATGCCCATTCCTTTCCGGTAGCGAAGCGGTTCCTGTGGTGTGACTCGGATACGGTAGTATCATGGGTGTAATCGGACCAACGAAGGTATAAGCCGTTCGTTGCCTATCGTATTGGCGAGATCCTCAGCATCACGAATCCAGACGATTGGCGTTGGGTAGGAGCGAAGGACAATCCAGCGGACGATTGGACGATGTGGGGCAAAGGAACGGAGATCAAGTCGGGAAGCCGAGTGTTCCATGGGCCGAAGGAAAAGCGTCCAAAGGTGGAAGTTGCCGAAGAGCTCCGGGCGAGCGTGCTGCTGCATCACATCGTGTTACCCGAGGGGTTTAGGAGAGGTTACAGCATATTTTGCGTTGTTCCGATTCATGTCCAACTGCCGGCGACGCGTTAAGAAGCTGCCGATCGCAGCCGTTAGGAAAGGTGTCAAGCAAGGATCAGCGTTCCCCGCCGTGGATGTGCCGTTGCGACAATAGAAGGAGTACCAGGCTGCAGAAACAGTTTTATGGAAGGTGGTTCAGGCAGACGAGTTTGCCGACGAAGTGAGAACCCTGGTGAAGAATAAAGATTCGACAGCACATGAAATGTCACTCGCGAGATCGAGTAAACTGTATCGTCTTGCGCTGTTCCTGGATGAGGATGGTGTCATGCGGATGGAAGGTCGTACAGAAGCGGCGAAATATGCGGCGTTTGATGCGAGGTTTCCGATCATTCTGCCGAAGAACCACGTGGTGACCCGAAGGTTGTTGGAACACTACCATCGGCAGTATGGGCACAGCAGCAGAGAAACCGTTGTAAACGAAGTTCGGCAGCGATTCTACATTCCGTGTCTCCGAGCGCTAGTAGATCAAGTAATGCGAGTGGTGCAAGATCCAGAAGGTGAAGCCAATTATTCCGAAAATGGTACCCTTACCAGGACAGCGTTTGGCGGCTATTTTGGTCCACTGGAAGTGTCTATTGGCCGAAGGAAGGAAAAGCGATGGGTGGCACTTTTCACGTGCCTAACTGTGCGAGCGGTACATTTGGAGGTGGCGTACAACTTGACGACGGAGTCGTGCAAAATGGCGATCAGGAGGTCCTTTCAGATAACGGGACGAACTTTGTCGGTGCCAGTCAAGATCTGCTGAAGGAAATCAATCTAGCGTGTGCGGATATGTTTACCGATGCGAGGACCCATCGGACTTTTAAACCACCGGCTGCTCCACACATGGGAGGTGCGTGGGAGAGAATGGTGCGCTAGGTGAAAGAGGCACTGAGAACGTTTACAGATGGTCGGAAGCTGACGGACGAGATCCTGCAGACGACACTGATCAAGGCAGAGAACCTGATCAACTCTCGTCCACTCACCTACGTGTCCACCAACGTGACGGAAGACAAGGAAGCGTTGACGCCGAACCACTTTTTGCGTGGTCGTTCATCGGTCGAGTGTCTGCCGTCGAGGAATCCGGTTGACCTGGCCAACACGTTGCGTAGTAGCTACCATCGCGCACAGTTCTTGGCGGATGGATTCTGGGATCGTTGGCAGAGGGAATAACTGCCGATGTTAAACAAGAGGTCTAAGTGGTTCATGGATCAGCGGAAAGTAGTGGTTGGAGATTTGGTGTTCGTGGCAGACGGAGAGAAGCAAAACGTCTAGGAGCGAGGTGTGGTGAAGAAGGTGTTCGTTGGGAGTGACGTTCAGACAAGCAGAGGCGAGAAGGTCAGACCGGTAGCGAAGCTAGCCGTTCTGGAGGTAACTTCGAAGAAGTAATCCCCGTACTGTTCCTGATGTAACCAGTCACAGGGTTTACGGGCGGGGGAATGTTGCCGTTGCAGTCAGGCCTGAAAGGGTTGCGGTAGTATAACTACCGTGAACGCGCCCCTTTGATGCGCCCGTTTTTGACGTTACTTGCCATCGCTGTAGCAGTGTGGCGCATACATGAATGTATACACGCAAAGATGCGATAGTGAGTGGGCGGTCATCGCTTTCGCACTACTCTGTTTTGTTTACCCCAGCAGCTGGCCTGGAAAGAGGAAAATATAGACTCCATCGCGATAGATGTGTTTTTTTTTTGTTGCGGATTATTGTACCTAGTAAGTTGTGTAATTTGTAGTTTAATAGTTTATTTGTAGCCTTTTAAATATTGTGAAATCGTAGATTGTTCGCCACTGTTGTACCGCGGGAAGCAGATATGTTTGTATTTAGTTTATTATTGTTCAATTACCGTAAGTTAAATATTATGCAAAGGTGACATGTTGTTCAGTGTATTTTATTTAATTAATTGGTAGGACCTCGCTGAGCCCGCTGAAGCTAGATTGACATTGAGGATTTGCAGTAGGCGTTGAAAAACTAGATTGTATGTTGTCGATTGTAAGTTTGTTTAATGTGATTAGTTTGTTAATTTTGGATATATTTTAGTTGAGTTTGTCCGTCAGAAGACATACACACCGTAGAGGTGCGAACACCAACCAATTTCAAATTCCAAAACATTTCAACAAATTCCAAATATCAAATTCAAATTGAAAAATCCATAAAATTCCAAACTATTCCAAATTCCAAATTTTAACAAATCCCAACGAATTCTTAATTCAAAATCCCCATATTCAAATTCCATTAATTTTGAAACTCCAAAAAAAATTCCAACAAATTCAAAATTGCAATAAAGTTCAACGAATTATTATTTGCAGATTCGTAGAACTTTCAAATTTCATACAAATTTCCTTAAACAATTAAAATGTCAACAAATTCCTAACAATTTCAAATTCTGGACAACCATAATTTCGATAAAATAAGCTGCTTTGGTACTATTATTTATTGAAAATAAATATACTTCATTTAAAAAAAATAAGCAAGAATCAAAATGGAGCAGCTCCAGGCAAAAGATCATAAAAATTCTGAGTCGACCTTCTTTGAAACTTTGCGTTATTGTTTGCATTGGGCAGTGCAGCACATTTTTGCTAAAATTTGAAAATTTTGAACGTTCATTATTTTTTAATGGATCCTTGATAATTTTTAAAAATTATATCACGGAGATGGTATTTCTAACCGAAGAGATGTCTGACACAAAGTAGTACAGAAAAATGTTGTCGGTCTGAAAAAATCGTCTTTTTTTTTAATTGTGTAAAAGAAAAATTAAAAAAAAAGTTTAAAACCTTAATTTCTCAAAGTCACCGAAAAAATCCAAATTCCATCAAATTTTAAATCTAAATACGTTCAAATTTGAAATACCAACAATTCTACCAAATTTCAGCCAATTTGAAGTGCCAACAGATTCTATTAAATTACAATCAATTCCAAATTCCAAATTCCTAATTCCAAATTCCAAATTCTAAATTCCAAATTCCACATTCCAAATTGCAAATTCCAAATTCCAAATTCAAAATTCCAAATTCCAAATTACAAATTCCAAATTCCAAATTCCAAATTCCAAATTCCAAATTCCAAATTCCAAATTCCAAATTCCAAATTCCAAATTCCAAATTCCAAATTCCAAATTCCAAATTCCAAATTCCAAATTCCAAATTCCAAATTCCAAATTCCAAATTCCAAATTCCAAATTCCAAATTCCAAATTCCAAATTCCAAATTCCAAATTCCAAATTCCAAATTCCAAATTCCAAATTCCAAAAAATCAAATTCCAAATTCCAAATTCCAAATTCCAAATTCCAAATTCCAAATTCCAAATTCTAAATTCGTAATTCCAAATTCCAAATTCCATAATTCCAAATTCCAAATTCCAAATTCCAAATTCCAAATTCCAAATTCCAAATTCCAAATTCCAAATTCCAAATTCCAAATTCCAAATTCCATAATTACAAATTCCATATTCCTAATTCAAGTCCAACAAATTCTTAATCCATAATTCTAATTCAAAAATCCTATTTCCAAATTTCATCTCAATTCAAATTGCGTGCTCCCACAAGTTCAAACTTAAAAAAAAAATACCAAATTCCTTCAAATTTCAAGTATCAAATTCGTATAGAGTAAATTTTTTAACTAATTCCAACAAATTCCACTCAATTTGGAACTCCAACAGAATACATTAAGTTGCAACAAATTCCAAATTCCAACATATTGCAAATAAACGAAATCTCACTTCCAACAATTGGATTTTTTAATTCAAAATTCCAACAAATTTCAAATTCCGATTTCAAACAAATGAAAAATTCTAACGCATTCAAAATTCAAAAAAAAAACTTTCAAATTCTTAATTCCATATTAAAAAAAAAAGAAATCATGTACCATATTTCATAAAATTGCTTATTCTTACAAAATCCAACAAAGCATTCATGTCAAATTTCAACAAATTTAAAATTTAAAATTAATTTGAAATTAAAAAAAAAATCATCCAATTTTAAATTCAAAATACCCACCAATGCCTAATTTATTCTTCGTTCAACGAATTCTTAATTCCTAATTGCAAATACCATGTTACAACAAATTACGGATTACAACAAATTCCAAATTCGAATTCTTAATTCAAAATTCCATAATCCAAATATCAACTAAGTCCAACCAATTATTAATTCTGAATACCCAATACAAAGTTCCAACTAATTTTGAATTTCAACAAACTTCATATTCCATCCAATTTCAAGTTCCACCAAATTCTACCAAAATCCAACCAATTTCAAATACCAACCAATTCCAACAAATCTAAAATTCCAAGAATTCAAATACCAAATTCCAAAACGAAAATTAAACACGGAACATACTTACCACTCTGCGCCGAGTTGAGTGCCTGCATCTCCCACATTTGCTCCTGCCGGATGTCGTCGTGGTAGTCCTGCGAACGAGAAAAGAAAGCCAAAGAAGCAGACGCTAATTAGTAAAATGAGTTTGCGAGCAGAGCACAGAATTACAGCTGAAAATTGTGGATCAAAAGCATTTGTGAATTATGAGTGGAATTGAAATTCGAATTATTCGATTTGCAATTCCAATGGAGTTGTTTTTCTTTGCAAAATCTTCTGCGAAAGTAGCGTCATGACGTTTGACGCCTTGGCGTCTGAGGCAGACACGGTCGGGTTTCAAATGGAACATATGTAGAGCAAATTGTAAACCCACTAACGAGCATCTCGAGTTGGAGCGTCTTCGCCGTTGTCGTTCCTTTTCTCATCCTGCAGGACATTAGATGAATGTCATTGTGGTGGCGAGACTCGTTGTTACTGCTCGTACAGACGGCTTCCTACGTGGGTGTTTTTCCTTCAAGTAATTGAGATCCGTGTATGTCAGCGTGTCTACGCTTTGCATAGTCTACTAGGGAGGGTTTTGCGGCTTAGGGCAAGGACCAGCCACGTGAGTAATAAGGGAACTTTATTCCGTTTCATGGCTGTGGGACCGCATCACCAGAAGAGGATAGAAATGTTGTCCTAGGTCGGGGATTATATTATGTCTGATTCCTTAGGGTAGACATGAAGACACAATTTTTATTGATGTCATGTTCACAGAACTATAAGCATATGTCTAATGGAGTTGGGGTGTAGGAACTTAGGGAACATGGTTTGGAGATTTCAGAAGGAGACAGCAGAAGCATCTGCTTTGATATAATTTTGTAATTAAGCTTTGAGAGCCACCTGCAAACTGAGGTTGCAGACGATTCTTTTTCTTTTTAGGATTGCTTTAAACCTCTCTCTGGACTTGCTGTTAAAGTTTACTAATTCATTGGTGCAGTGCCCAAAATCTGCTTGAATACTGCCCTTATCTGAGATTCTTCAGAATTTTGTTTTGACTTGTCATTGGCTGGGTCACCCAAGGTGCTTCGTTAGTCGAAGATAGTTTTCCATTTCGAAAAGTGCAACAGCCAATACGAGAAAGCCCCCAAGAGACAATGATAGATCGAGAGAAGAATTATCTGATCGCCATAAGGCAAATCGAAATCCTCATACTAATTATCAGATATCATCTGTCCTCGTGTGCTGAAGAATATGCTGACCAAGTAAGAGCAACTGATTTATTGCTCTGGTTCGGTTTACCAAATCACAAACACTAGCAGTCAGAGCCGTCTGGGAAAAGATTTAATCAACCCCATCTTCCAACTGCAAGAGAACACAAACAACGCCATACCTCCTTGGCGCAATAAACGTCAGAAATGACCAGCTACGGTGGGGATTCATTGTTCAAACGTCAAGTGACCTCCTTTCGATTCGAGATCTCACACAAGTTGAAGCTTCTCGCCGTGACACATGAAGGAAAGATGACCGACCACCGGCTATGAATTATGCATGACGCTTCCCATACCTACTTTCCCGTTGCGGTGGGTGTGCAGAGAAATCTGAGGGATTTGTTCTGCTTGCACCAACCCACCCGTAGCAGCCTGGTCCTTTGGTGTGGACCAACGAATGAGGATGCTGGGAAGAAAGCCATGTGAGCTTTTTCGAGTGTGCGGTTGAGTGGGCGAAGAGATTGCAAAAACAATCTGACCAAGGAAAGCTTCGACTTTGGGTTCACTTTTAATGGCATTGGGAAAGATGTCTCACGTGAAGCGCAGCTCTGGAATGTATTTGAAAGTGGTTTACAGTTAAAGGGGGATTTCACTTTTTTTTTCGTAAACCGAATGCTCTACACATTTGTCAGCAAAAAATCAAATTTTTTTTCTACGAAGGATTTAAAAACAAATGCTTCCGTTGCAAATATTTGAAATCGTTTCACTTCAATTAATTTCTGTTGGTTTGATTTTTTCTTAATTTTAATTTGATTCGATGAAAAAAGTTTATTAAACTAGTAGACCCAAAAGTTTCATTTCAATTTCCCAATCCCTTGAAATCCATTGAATTCAACATTTTCACATAACACGCATCAACAATCACGTTCTCTGTGAAGTTGACAAAAGTAATTCTACATTGAATTGCTTGCGCAAACTTCATCTGCCGTCTAACGAAAAAAAAACCCCCGTCACCAGGTTTACTCATTGTCAACCTTGAGCGCCACCCTGTCCTGTCCACCCACGGATAAGCTGTGTCACTCATATCTACAGCACCCTTTGGCTCGTTGATTTACAACCTTTTCCAAGGTGCTTACGACTGTTTCGTCTCGTCTTTTCTAGTTAGGGCTGTTTTCCTTAGCTTTGAAAGGCTTGATACGTAGCTTGAGTGGCATTCAACGTCAACACAAACTGGGAGAATCAATTAGCGAAATTTAAAAGGCTTTGAAGAGCAACAGATAAACAGATTCCTTCCATGCCGTGCTTTCTCTGGCTTTAATTGAAATAAATACCCGTGGGCGTGGATCGAGATGATTAGAGAAATTTGAGTTTGCAGTGTAAATAATCATTTCACGGTGATGATTTAGCTTTGTGTAGGACAAAGATCGCCTTAAAGCTTACAAGAAGCCTTCTGTAAATGGAAATTCAATTAATCATTCCATTCATCGAAGTGAAGACAGACGAGCTCTTGTAGAAAATGCTAACCCTGCTTGAAAGGGGTCCATTATTCCCCCAATGACCGAGACGAATCCATCACCCCTATGAAAAACTACTTCCACCCTGCTGGCCGTCAATCATAATTCCATCATCACTATGCGGAAAAACACAGAGAAGCGTAGCTAGATATGACAACTACTGCTAGGACACTCTCCGGAAAGAAAAGCATTCCACCAAGATTGATGGAATGGTTAAGATCCGTACCACACCACCGTAGTGCAAAAAGCGAGCAAATCGTAAAATTCCATCATCTGGCAGACCAGGGACATAGTTTTTTTTCTGGAATATTCACTATATTTGCAGCGCCATTGTTCGTCCACTTCGTTCGGTCTATGAGGGAGGAAATCCGTGCGGGCAATTCCAGGCTCTGATGTCCAATTTGTCTCATATCTGGACACCCTGGAGTGTCATCCTATGCCACTCTCCAACGAGACATTTACACAGGCCATGAAAGATGAAAAGTCTTCTCCGGCCAATGGATACTAGCACTAGGGTGGTTCAAATTACCGGTCAACCGATTTCAAATCAGGTCGTGATTGTTCACGCAAATTTCTTTTTCTTCCTTGATTTGTTTTCCGTACTGAGTACCAGGGTCCAACAAAGTCACTTTCAATCGAAAAACGTCAGCTGTCAATCATCACTTTCAATTGAAAGTCATTCTTCTCTTCGAGCAGATCCCCTTTAACATCAACCGAGCCACTTGCTGTCAGTTTTCATGCTTCTACCCATGACTCGTGTTCATTTCGTCTTTCATTTTCAAACATCAAAGCGAAGCGACTTTTGTTGATTGTTCACTCGGTTCATTTAAGCGCGTGCGCATAGAGCTGTGCAAGTGGATTTCAAATTTATCATTGTCCGGTGGTTGGTTTTGGCTTCCATTCGTTTCCATCTATTGCTGTCACTTTTACTCCGGTTTGAAATGAAAGGGACCGAAGGCGTATAAAATATGAGGATCGGGACCATGCACTGATCTATAGAAAATGAAAACATCAGCACACGCTTCACATTCCAATTAAATGGAATTTTTGGAATCGAGGTGACGTCTAAAGTTCGAAAATCGAAATGCGACACTATGTTTAAATCTAAGATGGCGGCGTATTTAAAAACAAAAATGCGTAAAACTTTGCCTGTAGATTTGAAGACATACTTCAAATCTCCGCGTACATCGTACGGGTTAGGCAAAAGGTGTACGTTTGACTTTGTACTGTCGCATTAATGACCCTTCGCTCATTTTCAACTTCTATTCAACTTTCATACTACCGTACTCTAACGGAACTATCTACCTACCCTCTTCTAAGACCATTCTTTAGCTAATAAATTATCACACTAAAGGTTCGTGTTGGATAGCATTTCCAACCAACTCTGAAAATCGCAAACTTCGCGTATGAAGTAACATAAAAACACTTTGAATGGGAAATATGGTGACGTCTGGATGCCGGAAATCGATGACCGATACCTTTTTGAAATCCAAGCCTTTCCGATTTCAGGAAAAGTGGGAAATACTGACACTGACCCATCAATATGGGTATTTTTTGAGTGGGAGGGACGTCATAAGACCGATATGCCACACCATTTTCCAAATCCAATATGGCGTCTGATGCTTTTAAAAAAAAGTATTATTATTATTTATCTTTATTAGGGAGGCTTTCAGCCTGGGGCTGGTTCGCCTCCAATGTTAAAAAAAAGTAGGAAATACTGTCAAATATCCATTAAAATAGGTATTTTTGAATCGAGATGACAATCTATATTCAAAACCATTTTGAAATCCAAGATGGCGGCTTCCGATTTAACTGTCAAATACCCATCAATATGGATATTTTTGGAATCAGGGGGCGTGTAGAGGCCGGAAATCGATGATCAATGCCATTTTGAAAGTTTGAAGTTTGCAGCCAATTGGTTACCCATGCTGACTTCGGTTCTGATCACCTTCTAGTAAATTTTGAAATATCCCAAGAAATAATTTGTAATCCCAACAGCTCTACTTTAAATAACCATAGAGCTGATTGGGAGCAAAATCGAACATTTATGGAACATAACCTTGATCCATAACCAAATCTGATGTTAATTAGGCTCTTAAATCTCTGAATACTTCTATAGTTGAAGCACGAGTTGCCTCAGTACCAAAATGCGAGGTTAAATTCGCTTCAATTATAATAGACGATGATCTTCAGCTCTTGATCCATCTGAAAAATGTCCGTAGGCGGCAATATCAAAGAACACGCAATGCTGCCTTACATGGTTACTGATAGTCGCTTTATTTCTCTTATATTCGTTCATCGTGGGCGACGGTACTCGAAGCATCGGTATCTCAGCAAAACTCTTGAATGATGTGAGTGAGGAGTGTGAGTGCCGATGCACCACTCAAACCT